GACATAGTGGTCTATGTAATCTTTTCAAAAAACCAGCTCCTGGATTCATTGATTTTTTTGAAGGGTTTTTTGTATCTCTGTCTCCTTCAGTTCTGCTCTGATCTTGTCTTCTGCTAGCTTTTGAATTTGTTTGCTCTTGCTTCTCTAGTTCTTTTAATTGTGATGTTAGGGTGTCAATTTTAGATTTTTCTTGCTTTCTGCTATGGACATTTGGTGCTATAAATTTCCCTCTAAACATGGCTTTACATGTGTCCCAGATTCTGGTACATTGTGTCTTTGTTCTCATTGGTTTCAAATAACTTATTTATTTCTGCCTTAATTTTGTTATTTACCCAGTAGTCATTCAGGAGCAGGTTGTTCAGTTTCCATGTAGTTTTGCAGTTTTGAGTGTGTTTCTTAATCATGAGTTCTAGTTTGATTTCACTGTTGTCGGAGACACTGTTTGTTATGATTTCTGTTATTTTGCATTTGCAGAGGAGTGTTTTGCTTCCAATTATGTGGTCAATTTTAGAATAAGTGTGATGTGGTGCTGAGAAGAATGTATATTCTGTCAATTTGGGATGGAGAGTTCTGTAGATGTCTATTAGGTCTGCTTGGTTCAGAGCCGAGTTGAAGTCCTGAATATCCTTGTTAATTTTCTGCCTCATTAATCTGTCTAATATTGAAAGCAGACACATAAACCAGTGGAACAGATTAGAGAACCCAGTTGTAAATTCATGCATTTATAACCAACTTATCTTTGACAAAAGCACCAAAAACTTACAATGGGAAAAGGACAGTCTTTTCAATAAACGGTGCTGGGAAACGGGATAACTATATGCAGAAGAATGAGACTAGACCCCATCTCTCAATATACAAAAAAATCAAATCAAAATGGATTAAAGAGTTGGATCTAACACCTGAAACCATGAAACTACTAGACGAAAGCATTGGGAAAATACTTTGAGATGTTGGTCTGGGCAAAGATTTCTTGTGTTAAGACCTCAGAAGCACAGGCAACCAAAGCAAAAATAGACAACTGGGATTACGTCAAGCTAAAAAGCTTCTGTACAGCAGAGGAGACAATTAACAAAGTGAATAGACAATCCATAGAATGGGAGAAAATATATGCAAACTATTCATCTGACAAGGGATCAATAATAAGAATATATAAGGAGCTTAAGCAACTCAATAGTTAAAAAAAATCAAATTTAGTAACGGGCAAAAAATTTGAACAGACATTTCTCAAAAGGAGACATATAAATTGCCAACAGGTATAAAAAAGTGTTCAGTGAATCATCAGAGACATACAAATCAATATCATAATGTGATATCATCTCACCTCACTTAAAATGGCTTGATCAAAGAGAAAGGCACTCACAGATGCTGGAAAGGATGTCAGAGAAAGGGGATCCTCATACACTGTTAGTGGGAATGTGAATTAGTACAGCCACTATGGAGAACAGTATGGAGGTTTGTCAAAAAACTAAAAATAGAACTACCATGTGATCCAGCAATTCTACTTCTAGACACATATCCAAAAGAAAGGAATTCAGCATATCAAAGAGATATCTGTACTCTTATGTTTATTGCAGCACTATTCACAATACCCAAAATATGGACTCAACCTAAGTGCCCATCAATAGTTGAGTGAATAAAGATAATGAGCATATACACACATGATGGAATATTACTCAGCCCCCAAAAGGACAAACTTCTGTTACTTGCAGCAACATGGATGAAATTGGAGGCCATTATATTAAGTGAATTAAACCAAGCACAGAAAGACACATAATAGCATGTTTTCATTCATATGTGGAAGCCAAAAAAAGTGGATCTCATGAAGATAGAAAGTAGATTGGTGGTTACTAGAGGCTGGGAAGTGGGGGAAGTGAGGAGGATGAAGGGAATAAAAGAATATAAATATATTTGTTACCACAAAACTGTACGCTTAAAAATGGTAAAGATGGTAAATTATATATATATATTTTACCTCAACAAAAAAGATTTTCAGGGCCAGTGCATGGCTCACACCTGTAATCCCAGCACATTGGGAGGCTGAGGCAGGCAGATCACCTGAGGTCAGGAGTTTGAGACCAGCCTGGCTAACACAGTGAAACCCCGTCTCTGCTAAAAATACAAAAATGAGCTGGGGATGGTGGTGGTCACCTGTAGTCCCAGCTACTTGGGAGGCTGAGGCAGGAAAATTGCCTGAACTCAGGAGTTGGAGGTTGTAGTGAGCTGAGATGGGCCACTACCCTCCAGTCTGGATGACAGAGTGAGACTCTGTCTGAAAAAAAAAAAATTTTTTAAAAAGCTTTTTTTTTTTTTTTTAAATTTTTTATTTTTTGAGACAGGGTCTTGCTGTGTCACCCGGGCTGGGGTGCAGTAGTGGCACCATCATAGCTCATTTGCAGCCTCAAACTTCTGGACTCCTGTGATCCTCCTGCCTCAGTCTCTCTAGTAGCTAGGACTACAGGAGTACCAAATCTGGCTAATTTTTAATCTTCTTTCGTAGAGATGGGGTCTCACTGTGTTGCCCAGGCTCCAAATTCGATGTCAGACATGAATGTACACACACAGGAAACTCAACAAACTCCAAGTAGTATAAACTCAAAGAGATGCATAAGACACATTGTAACAGCAGCTATCATTTATGGAGCAGTTATTACTACTACTATTAATGCTACTGTTATTATTACAAACTAACTCAGTGAAGCGGGACAGGTGTTGTTATCCCACATCCTTCAGTCAGGTAAGGGCAGGGCTGACTTTGAGACGTTGTGGTTAAATGGGAGAGCACAGTCCTTGGAGCAGGTCTGTACTCCTGCACTGCCTTTCACTAGCTCTGTGATTGAGGCCAGTCGCAGAAATTCTCCAAACTTCAATTTTCTATCTTACTTACTACTTTGTTTATTTATTTAGAGACAGAGTCTAGCTCTGTCATGAAGGTTGGAGTGCAGTGGTGGAATCTCGGCTCACTGCAACCTGTGCCTCCCGGGCTCAATTCTCCTCCCTCAGCCTCCTGTGTATCTGCAACTACAGGCATGCATCACCACACCTGGCTAATTTTTGTATTTTTGTGGAGACAGGGTTTCTCCATGTTGGCCAGGCTGGTCTCACACTCCTGACCTTATGTGATCCACCCGCCTCGGCCTTCCAAAGTGCTGGAATTACAGGCATGAGCCACCATGCTCAGCCTGAATTTTTTTAACTTTTAAGAATGTGGTAATAATCAGGCAACGTTCAGGGCAGTGCATTTTTATGAGGACTTCACACGTGGCACATGCGAGAGCATGTAGCAGCGTTAGCACATAGAAGGTGTTTCTGAATGCATAGCTTTGTGAGGGAATGATGCAATGAGGATGCGCTGGGGCAGAGATCTTTGTTTTGCTCCAGAGCCCAGAACGATATCTGGCGTGGTGCTCAGTAAATATTTGTTGATAAATTAGCCTGAAGCAACAAGGGATAGCTATTACCTAGATCAGAAAAGTGCTATTTTTATGAATTACACTGCAGTAAAATTCCATATATATATATATATATATATGTGTGTGTGTGTGTGTGTATATTTTTTTTTTTTTTTAGGAGAGATGTTGGAAATGTTAACAAAAGCAGCAACTTCTGGGATACAAAATTTAGGATCTTTCTTATGGTACTTTTGTAGCAACAGTAATGAAGCATAAGGTAAATGCTTAGTAAATGAACATTTGTAGGCTTTTCCTCATCCCACAAAATGGCTCAGCCTTTTGGCTGGGGCCACTTGTTCTTGCATCAGAGCTGATGTGGAGTCAACTAGGGGGAAGCATTTCAGAAGAGATTAGGAGCATGCTACTTCCCTGAGCCCCCACATTAGTAGATCAATAATCTTAGGAAAATTAGTTGTTTAGTTTCTTCTGGTATTTTTGGATGCTCCAAAAGAATCACAACCAACCCGTCTCTTAGGCAGTTACTTAAGCAAGCATATATGACTAACCAGATTGTGTATTTACATAGGACACATATTATATTTCAGTTACAAACACCAGAGAGTGATAGGTATCATCAAGGTATCCTAAGTGGAGAGCAAAGAGTAGAATTGGAATTCTTACAAGGTGCACAATTTTAGGAATCAGCAAAGAATTGGCATCCTGGAATTTAGCATCATTATTAAAAGAATACTTTGTTGCTTATTACAAGCTTATTCCTGGAAATACCACGTTTCCTTCTGTTTGTGCATTGCATTATGCATATCTTAAATAGGGAGTTGAGTTCAATCTCCCTCTCTCACTGAAAGACCCTGTTGCAGTGGTCCCTTTACACAAATATATATGTATAGAAGCAGGTGTTGTTATCCCACATCCTTCAGCCAGTTAAGGGCAGGGCTGACTCTGAGGCATTGTGGGTTAACAACACTGCCTATACACACAAACGTATTTTGCCCATTTTTTTCTTTCTTTTTTTTTGAGATAGAGTCTCACTTTGTTGCCCAGGCTGGAGTGCAGTGGCGTGATCTCGGCTCACTGCAATGTCTGCTGCCTGGGTCCGAGCGATTCATTCTCCTGCCTCAGCCTCCTGAGTAGCTGGGATTACAGGTACCTGCCACCATGCCCGGCTAATTTTTGTATTTTTACAAAATACAACAGGGTTTCACCATCTTGGCCAGGCTGGTCTTGAACTCCTGACCTCATGATCCACTCGCCTTGGCCTCCCAAAGTGCTGGGATTATAGGCATGAGCCACTGTGCTCAGCCTATTTTGCCCATTTCTTAATGGAAATTACTATTAGGGGGAAAATGACAAGTTTGCACTTGAGGGAAATGAAAATTGAGATAATTTTGCCGTGAAGTCTGGTCTTGAAAACACACACACACCATTTGATTGGTTCTTTAATACTCACACACAAATACATACAATTAGACAAAATTCCCTGTGTTTTAACTTAACTCACTGAAGACTTATATTTGAATTGAACACACTCATTATTCTTGTTTAAAGTATAATTTATTTGTTGTGACAAAAACGCCTTTCTAGCATCATTTCTTTTTCTGTATTGGCTGCTCAGACATGCTTCATTCCTCTCCTCTTGCCCTTCAAAACCTACTGGTGTGGATAAATGGGAAGCTCAGTACTATTTTTTCTTTCTCCTTTCCTTCTTGAGTCACATGAGTCACAGAAATTCCTTGTAACCTGAGTAGGTTTGGTCAGAAATCTGAGATCATCTTGAAAGCAAGGAAGGATCCTTCCCACAGAAACTCAGGGGGTGCAGGGGAATAATTTGGCAATGAACAAAAGTTGAGATTGGCTGTGGAATTGGCTGCCAACTTGTTAAACTGTTGGGGAGAACTCTAGGTGACTACATTCTGGCCAGATCTAAATGTTTACAAAAAGCGTAATATGTATCCTGAAAGATCCAGATGAACATCTGTGTGACCCATGCCTGCCAACAAATGCCTCCAGGTCTTCGTTTTGGTCTGAAGCAGAGGCAGTAGACTTGCACATTTGAGAATGTAAAGGCTTTATTTACACACATGTCCAGCATTGGCTTGGAACTGAATGTAAGAGAATGCAGTGGAGGCAGAAACAGTTGTTTCCCTAGTTACCCTTTAGAAGAGAAGTTTGCTGGTGAGAAAAGCAAGCAGGATATCAATGGCATCTGTGATGGGGCTGCTGAAGACTCGGCTGGCCAGGCTGTTGATTCCAGTATTCTCGGGTATAATCACAGAGAAAGGCTTGAAGACTGAGTTCTGGAGAATCTTGGCGGGTAAGGGTATGATTGACACTGGAAAGACGGTTGAGGGTATGGTTGGCAATGGAAAATGGCATCAGGACCTCTGTTGGGTGGTGGGTGTGCCCTCGAGAAAGGAGGGTAATCTGATGGAATGCTAGAGCCAGATTCACGAGCAGAATTCAATCAACCCTTCTCCAGTGCCAAGTGTTTTCAGAGGAGGGAGAAAGCTGGGGGACACAGAGGGTTAAGTAACAAAAATAAGGAAGAAACACTTTCTACTCTGAAGTCTGCATAGTTCTATGAGATGAGGTGGAGACCTACTGAATTTCTCCAACTGCTGCTCTTGTTGTTGGGGTGGGTAGTCTCCTCCTGAATGTATTCATGTCTTTAATAGATTAGGTTAATCAGTGCAAATATGATCCAGAATGGCACAATTTTATTTTCTTCTTGCTAATTTCAAGGGCTTGTAAAAACTAGATCCCATCCAGACTTGAGGATGGCCATCCCTGCTTTAAAGTTAGTGGAAAGGTGCCCGGCCCAAAGCCCCATCTCTGTTTCTGTGGTTTCAGAGGCACTGGTCAGTTTTATATGAAGAGACCTGATGGCATATTGGTTCTCTGAAGTTAATTTGCAGAGAAGAAGAGGAAGCCAGGCTCATCGTGCTGAGGGCTTGTCTGATCCTCAACAAACTGGAGGTTGGTGGGAATACCTCCAAGACTCTGAGTGGACCCTAGAAGGGTCTATAAGGAATAGGTAGAGACCAGGAGTCTATAATTCCAGCACTGTGGGAAGCCGAGGCAGGCAGATCACTTGAGGTCGGGAGTTTGAGACCAGCCTTGTGGGTGAAACTCCATCTCCACTAAAAATACAAAAATTAGCCCAGTGTGGTGGCAGGTGCCTGTAATTCCAGCTACTTGGGAGGCTGAGGCAGGAGAATCACTTGAACCCAGGAGGTGGAGGTTGCAGTGAGCCGAGATTGCGTCGCTGCACTCCAGTCTGGGTGATAGAGCGAGACTCTGTCTCAAAAAAAAGAAGGAAGAGAATGATGAATGACTCTTCCTCCCACCTGGAGGGAGCCTTCCAGTATGATAGCATTGTCTAATCTTATTTGGCATTTTCCCAGGGCCTGGAGCTAACGAGTCCTGACTAGAAACAAACCTTTTTTTTTTTTTTTTTCCCTTTTTGGCATTTATGGCAGGGAAGCAGGAGCCTAGGAGAGTCAGAGTGACACCATTTAAAAGTCAACTACATCTTGAAAGTAGCAAGCATATTCCTCGTCAGTCACAGCCTATGATCCTGAGATGTTTACGGTTCAGAAAACAGACCGAAGATACCAAGGACACACTCCTAGAACACTGGGAAGTCCAGATGTCCCAATATCCTTAACAATATATACTTTCAAGATAATTATGCTTTGATAGACTTACACACTAAAATGTCAGGGATAGTTTTCTTTACATCAATAAAATAATAAATTTTGTCATGCTGTCAGCCCACCCACACATAGGCACAGATTAGTTCAGTCTTTACATAGACAAGGCCCCACATACAAGAAAAAGTTAAAGACAGTGTTTCTTCCACCTGCTTTCTGAGAACACCCTTCTCTGTAATGGAGTAGCTTTCAATAAACTGTCTCTTCACTACACTCTGCCACTCACCTTGAATTCCTTCCTGTGTGAGATCCAAGAACCCTCTATTAGAGTCTGCATCAAGACCCCCTTTTCCCGGTAACATTTACACAAGGGTTCATCTTGACAATGGCCTTGAGGAAGAAACTACTATCTGTTTTCTTGCAGAGGGAAAGCCACCAAGGAAATAGTTAAGACATTCATATAATAGTTTCATTAGGCATAATCACTTTACCATTTGTTGTTGAATATAATTCTCCCCTTTGAACACATTTTGCAATGTGAAAACAGGGAGCATGCACGGTGTCTTTCAGTGTCTGGGGGCTCACGAGGACCACCCATTGTTGGACAATGAGAAAGGCTATTGTTTCTTGTTCTCGGTTGAATCTTGTATTTCAAAAAGTCATTCAAAAACAAGATATTTTTATAGTTTTGATGTAAGTCTAAGAAGAGTTGGAAAAAATATGATACGGAATAGGAGTCTTCTGTGTGGCCTTAGGCAAGTTACCTATGTTTTTGAATCTCCTTTCTGGAACATTTTTATAAATTAAAAAAAAATTATTAGGCTGGGCATGGTGGCTTGCGCATGTAATTCCAGTGCTCTGGGAGGCTGAGCCAGGTGGATCGCTTGAGGTCAGGAGTTCGAGACCAGCCTGGCCAACATGGTGAAACCCTATCTCCACTAAAAACACAAAAATTAGCTGGGCCTGGTGGCTTGCGTTTGTAATCCCAGCTACTTGGGAGGCTGAGGCAGGAGAATCGCTTGAACCCGGGAGGCGGAGGGTGCAGTGAGTTGAGATCACACTACTGCACTTTAGGCTGGGCAACAGAGTGAGACTCTAACTCAACTTAAAAAGAAAAATAGAGACAAAGTCTCACTGTGTTGCCCAGGCTGGTCTTGAGCTCCTGGGCTCAAGAGTTTCTTCTGCCTTGGCCTCCTAAAGTGTTGGGATGTGTGAGCCACTGTGCCCAGCCTTAAATTTGTTATATATAGCTCCTTAGAGGGAGGTAAGAGAAGAGAAAGGGAAGGGGGAAGAAGACAGGCAAGGAACCTCCGGGAGGTGCGAGGCTGGGGACAACAGCCTGTGAAACTTCCTGGTGGTAGTGGTGGCGGCCAAAGGCCACTTGAAGAACTAAAGACATTATTGCTATTTCTATGATACAAATCCTTTGTGCAGCTCCCCACCTTCCACCTCCAATCCCTTTAAACCCCCTTTGGTTAAAGTCTACTGTATCCATGAAGGCTTTGTGTGAGTGGGAATTCTTTGTGGAAATTGAGGAAGATGTTTTCACGTTGTGTTTACGTGGTATTGAACAGAAACAGCTCCTATGGAAGCGGCATTTGGAAACACAAACGACCCTGAGAATATAAGGACCCTGAGAATTTGTAGAAATCTTAGGGAAGGGCTTTTGTTTTCCAAAGGGCATGGGACAACAGGTTGGGCAAATCTTATAGAGTTCTCAAGGTGCAGGGAGACTCAACTGATAGCTGAGTGATGTGTGGTAAGAAGACCCTCTTTTCTAGGGAACCCACAAGATAATTTTCCAGGCTGACTGAGTTCACTGCCAGACATGCAAATGGGCTGCAGAGGAACTCACCTTTTCCTGACAGTTTCAGAGTAGAAAGCATAGGCAGGGCTCTGGTCTCAGCAGTGACAGTGAAAGCTCTGTGGAAGGCAAATCAATGAGAGATGATGGTGAGGACCTCATGCGGAATTCACAAGTTCAGCTCACATTTCTGACTTCCCAACCTCTTAATTCCTTTTGTGCTTACTGTCTGTATGGCACAATGAGCAGGTCATTAAGTACTGGTCTGCTTTTTATTGATAAGATCCTCCACCATCTTGGTCAACTTCCAGACAACCTCTCCCATTCCCACACCCCCACCATCAGCACCCTGGACTGCCCACAGGCCGGTACACATATCTCTGGTCTTTGTTCATGTCAGTCCCTCTGTCTTAATATACCTGTCCTGGTCACATCTGCTTGTAGACTCAATGATGACCTCTATGAAGTTTTTTCTCCCTATTGTCACTAAGCCAGGCATGATGCTCTGTTGCACTGACTTGCTAGGAGCCTCTGTCCTCATGGGAGGACCAGCTTCATAAGGCAGGTTCTGTTGTCAACAGTGCCTGACACATGATAGGTGCTTTATGTTCGCTAAACAACCGGCACCACTTGGTCTGTTGTTATCCTAGTGATGAACCCATTATTATAGGAGTCCCTTGTTCGTACATGTGTTAGATAATTAATGAAAGGACGCCGAATGTCAGTCACTGTGCCTGGTGCTGAGGGGGCAGTGGTTGAGCAAGACAGGCCTGGTTTTCACCCTCAGGTACTTACAGTGTCTTCAGAGGGATAGATTTTAAACGAGTGATCAATTACCTAGGTAAAGAATTGAACAGAGCTGTGATGTTCGCTGTGAAGAAGGGGAAGAAATTCTGAGGGTGAATAACCGGGAGCTTATATTTGATTTGTAAGTTCAGGGAATCCTTTCCCTTCCTTTCTTTCTTCCTTCCTTCCTTCCTTCCTGCCCACCTGCCCTTCCTTCCTCCCTCCCTCCCTTCCTTCCTTCCTTCCTTCCTTCCTTCCTTCCTTCCTTCTTTCCTTCCTTCCTCTCTCTCTTTCTTTCTTTCTTGTTTCACTCTTGTTGCCCAGGTTGGAGTGCAATGGTGTGATCTCAGGTCAAGGTGCAACCTCCGCCTCCCAGGTTCAAGCGATTTTCCTGCCTCAGCCTCCTGAGTAGCTGGTACTACAGGCATGTAGCCACCACACCTGGCTAATTTTGTATTTTTAGTAGAGATGGTTTCTCCATGTTGGTCAGGCTGACCTTGAACTCCTGACCTCAGGTGATCTGCCCACCTTGGCCTCCCAAAGTGCTTGGATTACAGGCGTGAGCCACTGCGCCTCGCCCAGTGAATGCTTTCTTGAGGAAGTGATGTTTAACCTCAGTCATTTCTATATAGGCCTTGCTGACCTAACCTCTCCTCCCCAACCTCATTGTAACGTCCCATGAGTAGGGACCTCTTCCCGTCCCTTTTGTGCCCAGCCCACCACTGTGGAGTCCCCTGCTTTCTGCATCCCCCATAATATGTGGAGCAGAGCCTCACATATTATATGCCCACATGGTATAAACAAGCAGGGAGGCCAGCATGTTATCACGGGTGTGCAAGTTTCAGAGGGGTCTGGAGACCACACTGTCAGTGGGATTGGGCCATTTGTCTTGCAGATGGTCACTGTTTGGTCTTTCATCTCTTGATGCATGGAATGTGGAGGCTTTAATGAGGTGAGATGAAAAAGTCCTTGCCGTAATTAGCCTTGGCTGGCTTCTAAGCAACTGCTGTCACGGGGAGGCTGGATTGTGGTAGCTCCCTTTGGTTTCCACTCTTGCAGTCACTCTGTAGGCACAACAGTCCCTCCTCCAAAGCCAATGAGGTCCGACCAGGCCCAGCGCGAGGAGAGAGAGGGAAGGGTGGTTTGACAGCATTGTCGTCATTACCAGATTCCAGAGACACGGCTGTTCCAGCCGACACAGCCTGCGGGTCAGACCAGCCCTTTCAGTACAGAATGGAATCTGAAAGCCTTACACACCTCCCAACATGTGGTTCCTAAAGTAATCCTAATGACAGATGCCAGCTTGGAGGAAGGTTTGTTGTTAAAGTCTAATGCGATTCTAGGTGACCTTACCTCAGAATCTGAGTGTGTCCATTTTGTGTGACCCTAGAAGCCAGTTTTATTAGACAATCATCATACTTTCTGTTAGCGAGCCATTTCCAAAATGAATCCATGTGTTAAAAAATGGTTCTCCAGTTTGAATGTAGGGAATATGAAACAAAGAGGGTGCTCAGTTTTTTCTGAGGATGTTGGGCATAAGCAGTGTGTGTGTGTGTGTGTGTGTGTGTGTGTGTGTGTGTGTGTAGAAAGGGGCTATGTGTGGGAATACGCTCTGGCGTGTGTGTGTGGTGTCTGTAAGATATGTGTGTGGTGTGTATATGTGGTATATGTGTGGTGTGTAGTGTGAGTGGCATGTGGTGTGTGTTGTGTGTATGATATCTGTATGGTGTGTGGGTTATATGTGTGGGGGGTGTGTGTGGTACCTCTATGATGTGTATGTGTTATGTATGTGTGTGTGGTGTGTGTGTTGTGTTGTGTGGGTGGTATATGTGTGTCGTGATTGTGTAGTGTGGTGTGTGTGGTATGTGCGGTGTATGGTGTGTGTGTGGTGTTTATGCGTGTGTGTGTTGTGTGTGATATTTATGTGGTATGTGTGTGTGGCATGTATATATTGTGTGTATGTGGTGTTTGTGGTGTTCATGTAGTGTGTGTGGTATGTATGTGTGTGGTATGTGTGTTGTGTGTGGTATGTATGTGTGTGGTATGTGTGTTGTGTGTGGTATGTATGTGTGTGGTATGTGTGTTGTGTGTGGTATGTTTGTGGTGTGAGTGTGTGTGGTGTGTGTGGTGTTTGATGTCTGTGGTGTGTGGTATATATGTGTGTATGGTGTCTGTGGTGTGTGGTATGTATGTGTGTGTGGTGTGAGTGTATGGTGTATGTGGTGTGTATGTGGTGTGTATGTGTGTGAGGTATGTGGTATGTTTGTGTGGTGCATGTGGTATATATGTGCATGGTGTGTGTGGGGGTGTAAGTTTGTGTGTGGTGTGTGTGTGGTGCATGTGGTATGTATGTGCATGTGGTGTGTGTGGCATGTATGTGTGTGGTATGTGTGTGTGGTATGTGTGTATGGTGTGTCATATGTACGTGTGTGTGGTATGTGTGTGGTACATGTGGCATGTATGTGTGGTGTGTATGGGGTGTGTATGTGTGTGGGGTATGTATATGTGTGAGGTGTGTGGTGTGTGTCTATGTGGTGCATGTGATATGTATGTGTGTGTGGGGTGTGAGTGTATGTGTGGTGTTTGGTGTATGGTGTTGGTGTGAATGTGTGTGTCTGCAAGCTCCTATAGATGGAAGGTATGTATAGTAGAGTACTGTGAGATGGTAATGACGTGCAGCCGCTGAGTTCTTCACATCACATCTGGATTGTATTTTAAATCCTCCTAGCTCAGTGTATAACTGCATAAACCCAACATGAAAATTGTACAGCCCAAAGCAAAACAAGCTAGGTTCTTACTGTATCTCCACTTCAGTTATGTTCTCAGATTCAGGAGATTGCCACTGTGCCTCTAAGACTGTCATGTATTGATCTTTCATGTAATACGTGGAGTTGCTGCGGCAATTTTCATCTGCTCTTCGCCAGAGGCCCACTGAGTCACCCTTCTTGTTCAAGGCTTTCATGACCACAGCGTAGACACGGTCATCCACAGGAACGAATACTGGGAGGATATGATGAAGAAACAATCAGCCATCTGCTCCCTGTGAGCCAAGCTCAAGGGATGAGGGGAGTGAAATCAAAACAAAGCGTGAAGCAAGAAAGTTACAAAGAGAATGTACAGTAGTACAGTCTCATTTCTGTAAAAGAAGTTGAAAGTCTGGAAAGAGATCCATCAAGATATTAACTGTGGTGATTTCTTGGTAATGAGGTTACAGATCATTTTAATTTTCTTCCTAGTGCTTTTTGGTGTTTTCCAAATTCTCTGCAGTAAAAGGCAGACAAAAGAAAATCTATACTCAGCTCTGGTTTTGCTACACATGATGGGTAAGTTTCTGGGAGTGAATCTCTTTACCTCTCTGAGCCAGGGCCCATTTCTCAGATGAGAGGACAAGTCTGCTTGGTCCTCTTCTCAGGGGCAATGTGGGGACGGAAGAGATTGATGCAAGTGGAAAGGTCAGGTGGTCCAAGTAAAAGCAAAACCCTTTTCATGGTCCCAGAAATACTGATTCTCTTCGTCTTTGTTGTTAGGGTGTGGGAAGGAGTGCCTTTGAGCCACAGGTGCCCTAACTCCTTATAGGGTTACCCCAAGTAACTTGTTAATTCCACTTGTTAATTTCAGTCTTCGCATATGTAATGGAGAGGGCATTTAGCAACAATCCTGCATGATCTGCACATGTACCCCAGAACCTAAAGTACAATTAAAAAAAAAAAAAAGGAGAAAGTATCTGTGTCTATTTCTTCCCTTAGGAGATCTCTTCTGAGTGAATTCCTCAATGCTAGGATATTGTTCTTTCCAGGGCCCTTTCAGCCACCCAGAATTTCTTTAAGGCTTCTTCTTAACAAAGCAAAGCACATTGATCATGTAACACAAAAGGTTCAGACAGTAGTGTTTCTGAATTGTGACTCTAACACTTAGGAGCTAGTCATTTCACCTCTGAGCCTTGGTTTCCTTATTGCTCATCATTCACTCCACAAATATTTCTTGTGTGCCCACTTTGCACCTGGCCTGGTTCTAGGTCTGGGAATAATGACATTATCCTTCATTATCCGAGATCATGATACCTATCTTGAAAGGTTCTGGAGGATAAAGAAAAGAATGTGAAGATTTTAATACATGGTGAGTACTGGATAAATTGCAATTGTTATTATATGGCTATTTGCACACTACAGTTCTGTGTTCTGTAGTTTTGCCAGTCAAGCTTGGCTGATTCAGATCCCACAGACCTTGACTTGCTCAATGAGCATCTGATATCTGTTCTAGATCTGCGTGTCTGGTACAGTAGAAAGTGAGCGGAGACAGTCATCAGTGTCAGCTCTGCATGGATGTGCCCTGTTCTTCTGCTTTTCCCCTTCCACTCTGGTTTAAATTCTCTTTCTCCCCTCCTAGGCACCCATATTTTCTGGATTTCTGGCCTAAGGTTCTTCTCCCTTCAGGCAGCCTTGCAACATGCGGCAGCCAGGCCAGATTTCCTTACACAACACGTCCATCAAACACACTCCTGCCCAAACCTTCAAAGGGTCCTTCCTCCTAGAGTGTGTCAACATTTCTGCTTTTATATTTCTGCCTCTGGCCTTTGATTATAGTATCCAACACATGTTTTTTAAGACTGTAAGAAATTAGCCTCAGCCTGCTGTTTGTATATCCACTCTAAGGGCAGCCAGGTTTGACCTTTTTCTGCAAATGCCCCTGCCCCTGATCCTAGCTCACATCTCGCTGCCTGTCTGAAAGCCTGCCTTGCCTCTCATCATATGTTGCATCCCCACTTCCACTCCAATGGCTTGTTTGGGTCCCACCTCTGGACCAATTTATCCCCTTTTTCCTCTTATTCTCTCTCTTGTTTTTCAGCAGTTGAGTTCTTAATCATATGATACTTTGTGCTATGCACTGTGGTTTCATCTGTGTTGGTATCTGGACAGCCCAGTGTTGGGCCTCTGGAGGGCCCTAAGTAACTACTCATTGGTTGATTTTAAAAGTCACGCATCCCATGTTGTATAGTGCCCTTAAGGCTTAAAGTTCAGGAAGAAAAGCAGGCAAATCACATCCCTCTTGCCCACAGAAGAAAAAAATGGCAGATGCTTGCTCAGCACAGTCTTAATGTAAATGTCACTGTGTTAAGGGTTTCTTTCACTGACATCAAAACAGACCCAGGGAACCTGTTCTAAGAAATTGCTTGAGCTACAGTTGTCTCTTGGGACCTGCCAAGCCATTTATGCATGCTTTACCAATATTGACATAGCCTTGAAGTTTAAAAGAATTTCAAAACCAAAGTAAGGAAAAGTGACTGCTCAAGTCTGAGACCTATAGACCGTGAGCGTGGAGATCACCCTGGTGGTCTTTGCAAAATTTGGTCAGACTTTTAAGAAAGGCAGGATAACACAGTACATATGAAGACAGGTTCTGAAGCTGGAGAGCCTGGCTGGACAAAAAGCTGTATGAGTTCTGGCTGTGCTATTTATATTCAAATCTTAGCTATGTTACTTATTAGTGCACATTGTCAACGTCTCCGTGCCCCAGTTCTTGTCTGTAAAATGATAAACAGCATTTACTCCTAAAACTTGCCCAGCACGTCGTAAGAAGTGTTAGCTCTCATTACTAGAAGGAAGAGGTGTATAGTGGTTAAAGGCAGGGTCTCTGAAGCTGGAATGCTGGTTCGTATCTTAGCTTCCCCATTTAAGCAGCTCCGGGACCTGAGTAAGAGTCGCTTAGCAATTTCTGTCTCTCTTTCTCATCTACAACATGGAAACGATAATGATGTCTCCCTAATAGGTCACTAGTACATGTAAACACCATATGAAGTATTATTATTATGAAATGAATTAGAAAGCATATTCCTTGACTTGTAGATTTGGCTGATTCAAAAAGGGATGTATAAAAAATACCTACTGGACACCTCTAAGAAAAGCAAAAGACTAAGATTCAAGAGCCAGTTCTGCCACCTCCTAGCGGGGAGACTCTGGGCATGTCATGTAATTTCCTTTGGCCTCAGGCTTCTCATACATAAAGTGGGTTAGTAATACTTTCCCTGTGTAGCTCATTAGATATTTTTCACCCACAGACTAAATGCAGTATACAGTCATCCCTGGTGGCATCATGTTGTCAAATGGATATGAAAAGATTACGCACTGGAGGTTGGGCGCTGTGACTTACACCTATAATTCCAACACTTTGGGTGGCCGAGATGGGTGGATCACTTGAAGCCAGGAGCTTGAGACCAGCCTGGCCCACATGGAGAAGTCCCGTCTGTACTAAAAATACAAACAATCAGCTAAGGCTGGTGGTGCGTACCCATAATCCCAGCTACTTGGGAGGCTGAGGTATGAGAATTGCTTGAACCCAGGAGGCAGAGGTTGCAGTGAGCTGAGATTGTACTATTACACTCCAGCCTGGGTGACGAAGTGAGACTGTCTCCAGAAAAACAAAAACCAAAACAAAAAGAGAAAAGATTACACACGGGAATGCAATGATTATGCCTTAAAATGATCAAAATGCCCGTTTTACTTAAGTTAGAGAATTTGCTCTAAGTGCCCTCTTGCCGGGGCCTCAGTAATCTGGGGGTTGGGGCTTTCTCACTCCTGTGGCTTGAGTTCATAAGGGACATGCAGAAGTATTACCCCCAACCCACTCTCTTAATTCTTGTTCTTTCTCTTCCTTTCCTTGCTTCCCATTTGGCTCAGAAGACACATGTTTTATATAACTGAGAGTAGCAACAGAGGAGTATGTTCTGAAATTCTAGTTAATTTCCCCCCGAACAAAGGACAGCAGAGAACATGGCTTTTACTCACCAGAGTAGACTGTGTTGCTTTTGTAGATATATGAACTGGCCTTGATGCCTAGGGTGACGGTGTAGTACTCATTAAAGGTGAAGCAGTTGTTACTGAGCCTTATGAAGATGGCAGAAGAAAGCTGGAGACTGAGGCACAGAAACAGCCCCAGTGGCCGCAGCAGTATGGCATAGAGAACTGCCATGGTCCTGATTTGTTTAGAAAGTGCTAGGCCTGGAACTGGGCAAAACTGACAACTCACCTCTTGTTTATATGCCACATCTCCTAGATGGAGTCATAGATGCAAATCTTTTCCCTGCCCCTTCTGAATATACATTGGCTTCTGGAATTTGGCCAAAGACATCACCAGGACTGAATCACCAGTCGCCATTACCTGTCGCTGATGATTTTGCAAATTGCAGTTTTGTTCAAGAAGGGGAATGTCCTAAATATGGTTTTCTTTTACTCAGGTCAGTATCTGCTATTTGAAGAAAGCCACCAAGAAGACGTAAATACCAGCAAGTGAAATTCAGAGTTGTGTAATCATCACATACCTGGTTTGTTCAGAAGCTCCACTCTTCTCACTGCAGGAAACTCAGGGACAAAAACCTTGTTTTCCTGGATTACATACCATCTTCCACCCATGGCCAATATGGAGAAGCCACAAATCTACTAAAAATACAAAATATCAGCCAGGCATGGTGGTGCAGACCTGTAATCCCAGCTACTTGGGAGGCTGAGGTACGAGAATTGCTTGAACCCAGGAGGCGGAGATTGCAGTGAGCCGAGATCGTACCATTACACTCCAGCCTGGGCGATGAAGTGAGATTCTGTCTCCAGAAAAACGAAAACAAAAAGAGAAAAGATTACGCATTGGAATGCAATGATTAATCAAACAAGTCTCCAATCCCCCATTCATTTAGTGACAAACATAGAATGAGAAAGACTTCTGGACTTATATCTGCTTATATGTTATTTATTTATTTGGAAAGAAACAGCTTAGGTCTGTCTTGTTCCTGACACATTCTTCCATAATACCATAGCACAAAAAAATGAGAAAATATGCCTTTTCACATCTCCCTTCTGAATTTTACGACTTACTCACTGAAGAAGAGGAAAGAAATATGCCACTTTGTGAGTAGAAAGAAAAAACATGTAGAATAGAATCGAGGGAATATTGACTATGTGTTCCTTCAAGAGAAACATGTGCAGAATGGTGGCATAAAATCAACCTCTGAAAAATCAACTCCTTCATTTAAACAATGAGAACACTAGCAAAAAGATGGTCAAAATACGTTTTTCAGAATTTTTGAAGTTAACCAAATGCTTGCAACAATCTGGGAGCATTTATTTAAGAAAAATTGTTGAATACCATTAAGAACCATGAGCATTATGGCATTTTAAGTAGCCCTAGTCCCCGTGTAGTTCATTAGATATTTTTCACCCACAGACTAAATGCAGTATACTTCATCCCTGGTGGCACTATGTTGTCAAATGGATATGAAAAGATTACACACTGGAGGTTGGGCACTGTGACTCACACCTGTAATTGCAGCACTTTGGGTGGCCGAGGTGGGTGGATCACTTGAAGCCAGGAGTTTGAGGCCAGCCTGGCCCACATAGAGAAGTCCTATCTCTACTAAAAATACAAACAATCAGCCAAGGCTGGTGGTGCACACCCATAATCCCAGCTACTTGGGAGGCTGAGGTATGAGAATTGCTCGAACCCAGGAGGTGGGGGTTGCAGTGAACCAAGATCGTATTATTACACTCCAGCCTGGGTGACGAAGTGAGACTCTGTCTCCAGAAAAACAGAAACCAAAACAAAAAGAGAAAAGATTACACACTGGGATGCAGCCCACTCTCTTAATTTGTTCCCTCTCGCCTCACCCTACCTCCATGAGGGCCTTTGCAACTGTGGTAACTGTGAAGATCAGCAAACTAGCAGCCAAGTGAAGGAAACAGAACAGTTGGAGCTTTCCAAAATCATCAGTTAACGACTCTGGTTAATTTTTATAGTTTTTGTAGAGTCGGGGTCTTGCTATGTTGTCTGGGCTCTTCTAGAACTCCTGGACTCAAGCCCTTCTCTTGCCTCAGCCTCCCAAGTGCTGGGATTACAGGCATAAGCCACTTTGCCTGACTTCATGTTTTTTAAATGTTCAGTTTTCAACAAAAATTATAAGATATACAAATAAACAAGAAAATATGGCTTATAAAGAAAAAACATCCCAGGTAAACAGAAACTGTCCCTGAGGAAGCTCACATGCTGAACTTAACTGGACATAAACATTAACTCAGCTTTATAAATATGTTCAAAGAACTAGAAGAAATCATGTTTAAAGAATTAAAGGAAAGTATGAGATTGATGTCTCACCAAATAAATAATAGTAATAAAGAGATAAAAATGATAAAAAGAACCAAACAGAAATTCTACAATGGAAAAGTACAATAACTAGAATTTTTAAAAGTCACCAAAGAACTCAACAGCACATTTGAACTGGTAGAAGAAAGTATTGGTGAACTTGAAGATAGGTCAATTGAATACATTTAACAAAAAAAGTGCAAGACTTGTATACTGAAAACTATAACAAGGCGCTCAGGATAGTCAAAATGATCTTGAAAAACAAACAAAACACAACAAAGTTTGAGGACTCATACTTTCCAATTTTAAAATTTACTGTGTAGCTACAGTAATCAAGATAGTGTAGTGTGGTAGTCATAAGGATAGACATATAAATCAATGAAATAGAATTGAGATCTCAGAAACATACCCACACATTTATTATTAACTGGGTTTTGACAAGGGTAACAAGACAACTCAATGGGGAAATAAATGGTGCTGGGATGACTGAATATCCACATGGAAAAGAATAAAGTTGGAGCCCCACTCATACCACATACAAAATTAACTCAAAGTGAATCAAGGGTCTAAATGTAAACTATAAAGCTCTTAGAAAAAAAATAGGTGTAAATATTCATGACCTTGGTTTAGGCAACGGTTTATTAGACTTGATTCCTGAGGCAAAAATAAGTAAAGAAAAAAAATAGATAAATTGGACTTCAAAACTAAAAGCTTTTGTTCTTTGAAGGCCACTATAAAGAAAATGAAAAGGGCGAGGTGTGGTGTCTCATGCCTGAAATCCCAGCACTTTGGGAGGCTGAGGCAGGTGGATCACCTGAGGTCAGGAGTTTGAGACCAGCCTGACCAACATGGTGAAACCTCAGCTCTACTAAAAATACAAAAATCAGCCGAGTGTGGTGGTATCTGCCTGTTATCCTAGCTACTTGGGAGACTGAGGCAGGAAAATCACTTGAACCCGGGAGGGAGAGGTTGTGGTGAGCCAAGATTGTGCCCTCCACAGCCTCCTGGGGACAGAGTGAGACTCTGTCTCAAAAAAAAAAAAAAAAAAAAAAAAGAATACAACTCAACAACAAAAAGACAAATATCTCAATTTAAAAATGGGCAAAGATTTGAATACTTTCTCCAAAGAAATGTACAAATGGCCAATTGGCATGTGAAAAGATGCTCAACATTATTAGGAAAATGCAAATCAAAGCTTGAATGAAAAACCTCTTTACAGCTAGAATTACTACTATCAAAATGACAGGTAATAACAATAGTTGGTATGGATATGAAGATATTGAACCTTATGCATTTCTGGTGGAAATGTAAAATGATGTGGCCACTTTGGAAAATGGTTTGGCATTTCTTCAGAAAGCTAAACACAGAGTTACTACTAATGCATGTCACATGCCTGCCACAGAGTCAATCCTCCAAAAGAGGAAGGTTTTATCGCCAATGGCAAGTATCTGTGCTAACTCGAGGGACAAGAGCAACCAGGGAGCTGGGGGCAGCTGGAGAAGTTTTACTCTCATTTGTTTACCCACATGTTAATTTATGAGCTAATTGGGTTGTGCCTCTGGCTCTTTGGTTCAGCATTGTGGATGTTGAGCTTTTGAATATCTCAGTCCCTGTGCTTTAGGGATAGCCCGAGGTCAGCTTTTGAGCTGATGCACCATTATTCTCATTCCCAGGGGCCTCACCAGTTCTCAGAGAGAGGAAACACACTATTATGTATTACATTAAGAATTTTCAAGCAGGACTGGCCCCAAGAGATAATTTTAATCTAACTCCCTTACTCATGTCTGAGAAAACTGAACACAGAAAAATTAAACAACTTGCCCCAGGCTTAAGAACTACTTAGTGGCAAAGCCAGGGCCAGATCCTGGCCTCCTTTCCCCTGGCTGGGGATTTTCTCCACTGGGCAGCTCTAGTATCTAGTGAATATATGCATGCTTTGCTTAGCATTTCAGATTCAGATGTATTCCAGATACAGCACATTTTAATTTTAATACGCCGTGTGTAGACTTTGTGGTACGTGTGGGACACTTGCCTCATCTACTTACATTTGATAGCACTTGGAGAGAAGTTTATCACAAAAATAGTTAATTGTTCTATCTTTGCTCAAGACTTTTTGTTGATCATATTTGTGTCTTCGTTTAATCCAAAATTGCGTGTCAAGAGCACAGCTGGATCTGCACTGTGCTTTACTTGTGTTACCTCGTTGGCTGGCCATGCTCAGCTGACTGGGGCTGGGCGGTTGAGCTGCTCCAGGTCACATGGCCTTCTGGGATAATGAGGCCTGCTTTATCGCAACCGTTGCCAAACTCCAGGCTAGCAGCTATCTTGATAAACTGTTTACCTGTTTTCATGGAATGACAGAGATGAGGGCAAAATTATGACATGTTTAAGAAGAAAGAAACATTTGTTCAGTTTAAAGGTCTGCCTTTTATTTTTACATTATAGCTTTCTGATGTTTTGTTGTTCTTTCATGAAATTATGGTCATTGTAGATTAGAGATGGTAGATTTTCCCCTCCTTCACCTATTTATTTTTTAAATGTCTTTATTTAACAAAATGAAAACTTGACACCTATCTAGGTGCCTAAAATTCAAAGTCTTGAAACCAGATATATAAAAAGATTTACTTTACATTGTAACTTCTAGAAATGCCTTGTGTCACTGTGGCAAAAACCCGGAATTTCTGGCATTTAAGCAGGAATAGGTGCTCAAGAAAGGTGTTCACGGACCCCTTTCTTACTGAGTGGGAGGTCAGATCTTTTAAGCTCCTTTTCCCAACATTAGAATCAGTCATCCCTCCAAAACTGGAAATTTATTTCATTTATTTTAGGCAGAGATCAGTGTTGAGGGAACTTAGTGGTTGAGTGAGAGCACGGGTTGGTGGGTGAGACAGTGAAATCCGATAAGAGAAGCCAGGACTCAGAGCTTCCCAGTCCCCAAACAGAAGAGGAATGGGGAAGGTATCTCCAGCTGTGGAAGAGGAAGGTTTGGACACCCTATTTACATGGCCAGTGTGGCTTCTTTCTTTGAGAAGCAAGAACTCTCTGCTTAAGAGGAAACCCACTGTAGGAACCCTGAAGAGAACTAAGCACGCCCAGGTCAGTGACT